CCTGCAAGAGGAGCACCCCGAGCTGCTGGGCTGTGCGCCCCAACCCGATGAAGCTGAAGAGGAAGATGACCTTCAGCTGGATTAAAGAGTAGCCAGGGGGTTACCGAGAGCCTTGATAAGAAATGAAGTTGAGTCCTGACTGCATATTTCACCAAATCCTTCTTTATTACGTAGTGATAATAAATCGGTAAACCACTTTGATCCTGATGGGATTTAAATCCCGTGAGGTAAGCGAGTATTTCCAGAGACAAAACCCACCCCAACAAATACCCTAACCCCTGGGAAAGGGCAAACGATCTGCTCGCCTCCCTGTTGCAGCCATCATAGAATAGAATCATGGAATCACTTTGGTTGGAAAAGACCTTTGAGATCATCGAGTCCAACCTCTAACCTACCCCTGCCATCCCACCACTAAACCCTGGCCCTCAGCACCTCATCTGCCCTTCTTTTAAATCCCCCCAGGGATCGGGACTCGACCACCTCCCTGGGCGGCCCCTTCCAGAGCCTGACAGCCCTTTGGGGAAGAAGTTTTTCCTAATGTCCAACCTAAACCTGCCCTGGCGCCAACCTGGCCTGGAATGTTCCCAGGGATGGGGCCTCCACCCCCTCTCTGGGCAACCCCTGCCAGGGTTTCAGCACCCTCACTGTGAAGAATTTCTGCCTTAGATTAGCTGCACAGACCCTGCCGGAGCTGCCGGTGACCCCACAGCGCTCACTGAGCATAGAATCACAGAATCATTTAGGTTGGAAAAGATCTTTCAGATCCCCAAGTCCACCCTTTAACCTACCCCTGCCATGCCACCACTCAACTTTGTCCCTAAGCACCTCATCTCTCCTTCTTTTAAATCCCCCCAGGGATGGGGACTCGACCCCTTCCCTGGGCAGCCCACTCCAGAGCCTGACAGCCCTTTATCCTGTTGGCTGTCATTAACTATTTACCCCAGAAGGCACAGGCACCAGAGGGTCACCAAAAAATGGCATGGACACCAGCCTGGGAAATCAGCTTGGCTGCTTTTCAGCCCCATGGTTTTGGGCTTCTTTCTCCCCACCTTTTGCGTGGGAAGCACCTAACGCAGAGCTTATCTGCTGCCGCGTCTGCATTCTGCCGGGAGCCTGGCCTCAACCGTTTCCTGCAAAAGCAGAGAGCAGCTTGGCGGCCGAGTCAGGGAGAGGAGTCACCCGCCTGAAATTCTACTACAGTGCCTCGCCGCGGGGGCTGCAGCCAGGGGAGGGAGGGCGAGCAGGACCGGAACGTACGATGAGCTCATCCCAGGGCTTACGACACGCGGCGCCTGGTTTGGGGACAGAGCGAGCTGGGGAAAGACGCTCTGCTGGCGCGCAGCCGCTGCTAGGTAAGAGCGCGGTCCGCGTGGCAGAAAATCAATGTCAGCTTCCGTGGCGTGAGGGAAGAGATACGGCGGGGTAGTGGATGTCATACAGAGCAAAAGGCCACTGTTGGTAAGAAATGACTTTAATTTACAAATCAAATTACACTGCACTATAAATAAAACATCATAAAATACAAAAAGAAAACAACTTTTTACAATTAATAACCCCATGTTCTTCTTCTTTCTGAACACCTCCTCTGGGTAAATAGCGAGAAAGGTACCAAAAAGAAACCTGGGGATCGTGGAAAAGTCTTGGAGCCACCAACCGCTAAGAGAGGTTATTTGCCTAATTTTTTGGCAGCCTTTGGGAACTTCTTAAACTCAGCCTGTTCCTTGAAAAAAAGCTGAGCAAGGATATGATCTGCTGTTGCACGGAAGTAGTCGTTCATACGAAGAGTCTCCAGCTAGGAGGAAACAGACAGTATTTTACACAGAATAATCACAGCTACCTGATCATTCTTACAGTATTAGCAATATGGGATGTTCAAGTGCACCTCAAACTCAAGATGAAAATGAATTAACATATCCAGAGGAGGGCTACTAAAATGCTGCGAGGGCTGGAGCCCCTCTGCTCTGAGGCCAGGCTGGGAGAGTTGGGGGTGTTCAGCCTGGAGAAGAGAAGGCTGTGGGCAGAGCTGAGTGCGGCCGGTCAGGGCTTCAAGGGGGCCCAGAGGAAAGGGGGGGACAAGCTTTTTAGTAGGGCCAGCTGGGACAGGACAAGGGGGGATGGTTTGAAACTGAAGCAGGGGAGGTTTAGACTGGATCTAAGGAAGAAATTCTTTCCAGTGAGGGTGGTGAAACCCTGGCAGGGGTTGCCCAGAGAGGGGGTGGAGGCCCCATCCCTGGGAACATTCCAGGCCAGGTTGGCCGGGGCTGTGAGCAACCTGATGTGGTTCAAGGTGTCCCTGCTCCTGCCGGGGGGTTGGGCTGGGTGACCTCTGGGGGTCCCTTCCCACCCAAAACATTCTGTGATTCTATGTCAGTGTATAACTAACGATGAGTCTTACCCTGGGCTAGCAAGATCACTGGGTACGTGTAGCCTTAGATAAATACAGCCTTGCTCTGGCCCCTAGGACACAGGCTCGTTCAAGGCTTACGAGGATCTCTCCCTTCTGTGGGTGCTCAGCCTGTGCAGACCCTCAGCCCGCCCAGTCTCCTCGAGGACAAGCCCCGTCTCTTCAACACCAGCGGTACCTCACGCACGGACACGATCTGAATTCCATCTCTTAACACACATACACCCACACGGGAACATGTCCCACCCCACCGCAGACCCTTTCTTTGCCTTCCCCACCTCCCGTTTCCATGTACAGAGTTTTGATAGGTGTTGCGTGCCGATCGTTCACACCGGCAGGGAATTTGCACTGTCAGTGTACTTGAGGTATTCTTAGAATGTCTTTCGAAAGGTGTGCACCAAAGCGTAAAGCTTACGTGCATGAGGAAAGCATAAGATTATGGACAGCTGAACATTTTTTTTTTTTTACTCCCCTTGCCCATATGAATTCTCACCTGGTTCCCTGTACTGATTTGCACTGTCAGTGTACTTGAGGTATTCTTAGATGTCTTTCGAAAGGTGTGCACCAAAGCGTAAAGCTTACGTGCATGAGGAAAGCATAAGATTATGGACAGCTGAACATTTTTTTTTTTTACTCCCCTTGCCCATATGAATTCTCACCTGGTTCCCTGTACTGTAGGCTAGAATCAAAAGCAAATCCTCCTCACAGACACTCTTGATATAATGCTGGGTTCCAACGGGGAAAAATATGACATCTCCGATGCCAATGTTGAAGTTGGCGGTGACTCCAGACGAGAGAATGACTCCAACCTGTTGCAAGTAAAGCAGCAATATTCAATGATGCCAATTTTGAGTGTGCTGTTACGGGATAAATACGCAGTGACGGTCCCAGCGCCGCCCTGCAATCAGCCAGCGTGGCATCAGTGCTTTCACTGAGACTCCAAAAAGGTAGAGGGGTCCTAGCCAAATTCCTGAGTAAGAACACGGTAAGTCCTCACAGCACGGACTCTCATCGTTCCATCTCAGTTACCTCTGCACTCCAAATTTGCACTGAGTGAAAAACATAACCAAATCCTCTACTCTAAATCTTAACGCTCACTACATTTTCTCTATTTATCTGTTCCTCAGAGGGGCTAAATCAAAAGGATCGCTTTTTCGTTTTGTACTCCCGGCATTCAGGAGGGTGGGGATTCCTGCCATAAGCGTGCGTGATTTTGCTGAACAACTCAACAAGAGGGGCAAACTCTGCTCTTTGTACAACGCTGCTTCACCCAGGCAGGCTTCCACAAACAGAACCAAGGTCGCAATTTTGTATGGAGAAGGAAAGTGGGGGCACTGAAAGCTTTGTGATACTGCTAGTTGTAGTATTATTAACCAGGGCTGGGAAGCAGTTGGCAGGTCTGTAACTGTGATACAGCCAAAACTCCCCTGGCTTATCCCTCACCGACGTAACGAATTACCTGTCCGCAGCCGCTAATGACGTAACCCATCTCATTAGCGTTGAAGTGGAAATGAGGCTGCCCCAGCCCGTTACTGAAGATCCGGAGAGTTGCTAAGGTAAGGGTATTTTCATGCTGAAAAGCAGAACAAAACTGTTCAGAAAACCATCCAAGTTCGTTAAATCCCTGTTATCCATGACAAAGCAGCCATGAACCCACACAAATTGCGTATTACGCCTTATGTCGAAGTAGCCACAGTATCCAACTGAAAGCACGTACCTTGTTCAGTGACTCACTAAAAATTTTTTCAGTTTCATTTAGTCCGGTGCCGTTTATGCGGTAGCGAGCCCACTGGAAGATTCCTCCTGGAAAAGGGTATTTTGCCGACCCTAAAACAGAGACAGCTAAATGAGCATTTCCGACAAGGTTTAGTTAGCGTTGCTTGTTGGCATATTGGCCAACTTCACGTCATGACGTACTAAGCTGGAGGCCTTGAATCTTATGAGCCTCTGGAACAAAAAAGAAAGCCCATTTAACTTGTCTGTCCTTCATGCATTGGACACTATACAATCTCCTCTACTGTATTTTTTGGTAGTCAGCTAATCATAATGAAAAACTGACTAGATTTTTTTCCATCCCAAATTGCTATCAAGAACAACACCCTTAAAAAACTTTCAGTATATTAATTCATGTTAACCTTTACGGCACTGACTGTAATTCACAATATTTTGTGAGGTAGTGCCAATGCAGAAGAACATTTTCGTCCAAGTGCAAAGCTTTTTGTCACACATCTGTTCTCCATGACCTCCATCGGCTGTGTGCCTATATTTGCTTTTTATAGCTTTTTGAATAGACTATAGCACTTGGAATTAAGTTTTGCTATCAATGTTTATTAGGTGCTCGCTGATGAGCACTAGCTCCAGGCTGTACGGAGGGTTGTTTAACACCGTTGCCGATAAACCAAACAGTGAATATGGTTCAACACTGTTTATGAAGCTGTATTTGTAAAAGAAAAGGGAGGACATAATTAGGTAAATGTTAAGGTATTTATCTGTTGACATTTCATATGCAAATGCAAGATATTCTAAGAAGCTCAGCACCAGCCACTCTCCAGCTAACCTGCTGCAGGGCTTCCTGGCCTATTAGATTTTAATTTCTGAATGAAAAGGTTAGGTTTAGGTTTTTGCTTAACTTCACAGTAGCAGGGAACACACCAGTCCTGGTTACATATATCAGTAGAGAACCTTGAGCTGGGAAGTATTTAGCTCATGCCCTGCTGCTTACTGGCATTCTTCTCTCATATGAACTGTTGCAGGTAGAAACGTTAAAATCAAAACTACTTTGAGATAAGAATCAGGTTATACCTCTTCAAATGGCAGCAATTAGATGTATTACCAATATATTTTTCATTTTATCTCCTTAAATTCTTATGATTTCTCTATATACTCTTTAACTCCTGTTTCAGTGACTCGATAGAGATCCCTTCCTCTCCCCCTCTAGAAACAGAGACCCCTTACATACAAAGTTCTTTGACGTGTACCTTTGAGATTGTAGAAGTACTGCCACACGAGGTTGTCCGGGGACTGCACGTAGGTAGCATTTTGTACAAGCTCATCTAAGTTTGGTGGGAGGTTAATTGCTTGATCTTCTGCTTGTTTCTTGAATGTTCTGATGAATTTAACTCCACCTTGTGGCTGCGGGACACACAATGCATATTAATTTGTCAGATATACCCAGCAAATTGTGGAATTAAAAATTTGCTTTGTTGAATATCCCACCTTAGTACCTGGTGGCAGACAAATTCTGCCTTGTGGACATACCTCATCTCTTTAATTGCCTCGCCCTGTCAATACACTATTTTCCTCCTTTGCTCTGCCCATCCTTTTCAGATACCACAGAGGTTTGGAGCAGAAGGGAAACTTGATCCATCTCCCATCAAACTGTTTCAGGGTGGGAAGGTCTACCACAGTTCTGTGGCTTGGACATGCAAATTCCTCGGATTCAGCAGAAACTCTGTGGCTGTACTGTTCCTCATGGGACACTGCCAACTAGTCAGTTCAAATAAGATCCATTTTAAGAAGGAGATAGACTTATCTGTAGCTACCTATGTGATCTTCTCATACCACAGAATTCATCAAGGGTCTATTGGGAAATTAGCTTTGGGCGTCACTGTGTTATTTTTCCCTTCCACCCTTGGAAATACAGAGGATCCTCCATGAACTGGGAATAAACGTGAAGAATGGAGGAGAAAAAGTTTTGTGGAGAGCGCATCATCATTTATTTCTCCTTGTGTATAAAGCAATGCAGAAGGTGGCACAGTGTTACACAAAGGACATGTGCACATCCTTCCACACCGATGGGACTAAAGAGAACAGCTGAGGTAGGGACGATCCTCTCCAGGAAATAGAGAGCGAGCCTGGACTGCCACGTTCATGTGTAGAAGAGTGGATAGAGGCTGGCCATCCTATCATACAGACCTTTAGTGCTCTAGCTGCTATATCCTCTGGGGTGGAGAAAAAGGCGTCATCTACATCCAAGGTCTGAAGTTCTTCATGTGTTGTAAAAAACAGCAAGAACACACAGTCTTCGGAGCCGACATTCTTTATCCAATGCACAGTGTTTCTAGGGAAGAAGACTACTTGACCAGCCGTGACGTTGTATGTGGTAACCACACTGTCATCTGCACCAATTACTCCAATCCAGGCAGTACCCTGTAACATAACCAGAAGTTAATGATCGTAATGCAAGTTTTCTCATTTAATCCATATGCAGCAAATCAGTAATTCAAATAACCTGAAGGCTGCTAGGACAAAACGGATCCTGATGCCCTCTCTAACAAGGCTTTGTGCCCTTAAATCTAGAATAGCCTTTTAATTGACAAAATTTTAGAAGTTTTAAGGAACACATGACAAATACACATTGCTCATACTTAAACCATTTCTTATTAAAGAGGCTGTGAACAGCTATAAAGGAGTCATCTTTGACCAAAAACTGCTGGAGAGAGGACCAGGTGTTTGTGGAATGCCATACTCCAAGGATGATCTTAATTATTCTTAGAAATAAATTAATGATTGAGATAAATCTAAGTACCTGTGCTTCCAAAGAAAGATCATTTTGTTTTCAAATTAATGTGCCATCTCGAATTCCTCACAGTGAGTTTCTATTCATCTCTTATTTTATTTTTACAGATTAGAAACTTGACGCTCAGGTGAGATAGGGCAAACCTTTTCACAGAAGATTTATTTGAGGGGTGGGGGAAAGGGAGAGGTGTTTGGTCTAGGAAAGAGAAGACTTTATGGGGACAAAACAGTCTTCCATGTATAAAAAGTTGTGAGAAAGAAAGATGATCTGAGAGTCTCCACAGCCAGGAGAGATAAACAAGGAGAAATTAGGATTTTTTTTTTTCTTGCAATAAACAAAAATGTTTTTGTCTACCAGTACAAACTTTCTAATGGTCTATGTGATGAAACAAGGGAGACAGCTGTTTTTTGATATTGTAATAGCTCCTCTGTTGAAGATTTTTAAAAACTGAACAAAATGGTCAGATATGCTTGAGGTATTCTTACCCTGCATCAATACAGGGGACGGAGCCAGAGGCTTTCTTAAGAACCTTAACAGTCCTTCACCGCTGTGATTCTATGATGGCTCTATAATATAATGACTTGTAATTAATCACTGTAAACACTTGGATAAGTACATAAAATTCTGTAACTTTCAGGTCTCCTCTGACCTCAGTTTTTATATTTCATTGGAAGCTACAGGTGTGTGGTCCTCTTGCAGGTAACAACATCTAACAGCCTGTTTCAAGCATCTCCATTTGAAAATGTTATTTCAAGCAAGAAAACTAATGTCATATGTCAATCAATGGTAATTCTTTTATTACCTGCCTATTATTTTTTTTTTACATATGTACATCTTCTATATATACACGATGCTTTAAGAAAGCTGAAATCATCTGATAATACCTGTAGCAGGTAGCCATGTTCATTGGCATTAAAATGCCAGTGGGGAGCCCGAAGCCCTTTGCTCTTGATCCGTAAGGTTCCAAAAGTCATTTTGGAGCCATGGCTATTAATACTTTTTCCAAATTCCATTTCTTCATCATTTTGATATTCATTTACATCCTTCCTGAATCTTGCCCACTGAATTTCACCACCTGGGTAGTTATATACCTGTAAAATTAGCGAGAGTGGAGAACTGTATTAATTCAGGACAGTGATAAGCAAACAATCCAAAAATATTTCAGAAAATTCTTGGTCAGGGCAGTATGGAGAGGAACTATTCCTTTTCTCAGTGAGGATTTTCTCTGTATGTATTTCAGTCTCTTTTCACAATCATTTATATTCTTCCTCATAGGAAGGGCCAGCTGCGTCAGGACAAGGGGTAATGGTTTTAAACTAAAACAGGGTAGGTTTAGACTAGATATAAGGAAGAAATTCTTTACAATGAGGGTGGTGAAACACTGGAACAGGTTGCCCAGAGAGGGGGTGGAGGCCCCATCCCTGGAAACATTCCAAGCCAGGTTGGACGGGGCTGGGAGCAACCTGATGTGGTTCAAGGTGTCCCTGCTCCTGCAGGGGGGTTGGGCTGGGTGACCTCTGGGGGTCCCTTCCATCCCAAAACATTCTATGATTCTGTGTCGTGATGTAATAGTATTGTTTCTACAAAAGAGAGATAAATAGCAATATCAAGAACAAAATTATCTGCTCCTCCTCTTTTTATGTCATTCTGGACTTTGATTTGGGAAATCAGTGACATATATGCTTAAACTTTTAGGCTGAAAACATTTAGAATGTTTCCTGAGGGAGACATTTTCTCGAATTTCTACGTTTCCAAACTATTCACACCTGAAACTATTCCTTTCCCAATATTTGTTCTGCCTCTGGAACATGTTTTGTACCTTAAAGGATCATCTTGCAGTGAGGAAGGGCACATTAAAAGGGTTGCTCTCCTCTTAAACACTTTTGTTTGCATTCTTAAAAACATTTGTTCCTTGAAAATTAATAACACAGTTAAATCTAACATGGAAACGTATCCAAATGGCTGTTGTCAGTTTGAAGTGCCCTACTATCTAATCTATCCTTTTCACTCTTTTGCTGAAAAGCAAAAATTAATCAGGAATTATTTTTTATCTAAGGATATCCTTAGAAGATAGAGTATGTCTTTAGAGTTTGCTCAAAGGTTATGTTTCTACAACTATCAAAATACACCAAAACAAACCCTACATAATTCCTAGGGCTTCATTACATTGTCAGTTAATTCATTTTAGCTCACTGAAACAAGCTCATGAGTTCACTTTTTCCCTTGCAACATAACAACGTGCTTGAATCCAGTCCTGAGAATGAAAAGGTTAGTGTGCTACTCAGCTTATATTAAAATTTGATCTTTCTGGGTTTGTTTCTCAGAATTTCATACTCTGTATTTTCAGAATCACACATAAAATGCTTGCCTTGTCTTGCAAGCCTAATTTGTTGGAGCAATTATGTAGGTCTCCAAGAGGCACTCCGGAGATCCATACCACTTCTAACATCTGTTATGAATTGGAGTGAAACACTGTCAGGAAGTTTGTGTCGCTCCCCATGGATTATAAAAGAAGCCTGGATAACAGGTTTAGACTGACCACCTAACACTTAAAAAATAGTTAGGTGACATCAATTTATTAAAGTTCTATTTATGATGCTAGAGTATCATTGCACAAGATGAAGAATTTACCTTTGATTTCCCCAGATGATTCAGGAACTGGAATTTGAAATCCACACTTTTTTCAGCTGGTTTCGAGGAAGATGCACCATCGTCTTTACCAACTGTCTCTTTTATAATGGCAGTGTTCTTTACATAGACCAAGGACAGGGTCAGCACTCCTATCACGGTGGTGATAACACAGGCCAACAGGCAAACTAGAAAGACTTTCATTAGGGACCAGCTGCCTTTTCTTTCCTGAAATTAATAAAAAGCCCCCCCAAAAACAAAAAAAGAAAGCTTTATTAGATCTAACACACAGGACAAAAGTTTGTGATAGTTCTTTTTTAATCAAAACAATACACCTTTCAGAAACACAGGTATAGCCAAATTACTGGGCCCAGTACAGGGAAACCTTATAGAGCATGTTATGAGATTGTTGCTGTCCTTCCGTTATTTCATCAAGTAAAAGCACATCTTCATCATCCCGAGGTCTTAGAAATGCGTCAAGACCTTTTTTCATTGCTGTTTCCAATCTATACCACAAAACTCCAAAGACCTGTAGCATCAAGCCATGGCAAACCTTCAGCTCTGGGACAGAAATGCTGCCCCTGCTTTACATCACATCTGAGACAGCCCAGCTCCCTGGCAGTGGAGAAGTCAGGGCAGAGTGGGGAAATTTCATCTGTACCATCTGCTCTGGGCATCTTTTTTTTTACTGTAAATGCCCTTCGTGGACATTCAGGCCTCTGGAGGAGGGTGAAAGGGAGAAGCAGCTGGGCACACAGAAGCACACAAGTTCTTTATAGAAGGCCAAGGCACTTCTGGCACCATGAAGCACCACCTTGGTGAGGATGTTCAGTGTTTCCTGTCTCTTAAGGACTTTTGCTGCTGAAGTTGCAGCTTGAGATGAATAGAGACTGTGTTCTCTGGCCCAAATTTTAAAACTCTCTACTGATTCTGGATGCAGAGCTTGAGCTACCTTTTAAAAGTCTGATTTTTCAGAAGGTGAGTGCCTGAAAATGAGCTACAAATGTTGATTTCTTACGGTGGACAAATCTATTTCTTAAGCTGGATTTCTTAATCTATTTGACAAATGCTCTTTACAAATACATTTCCTTTGCCAGCAGAAAAGTGCTCAAAATCCCACCCTATTCTATTCAATAATAGTCTTTTCTTCAGTTTAAGTAACTCCCTTTTTAAAGCTTGCTTGCCAGCAGAAAAGTGCTCAAAATCTCACCCTATTCTATTCAATAATAGTCTTCAGTTTAAGTAACTCCCTTTTTAAAGCTTGTGTTCAATGAAATATCACGACAGTGATATCAGACCACAGAGTCTCATCAGAGAACAAGGCTTTATAGTGAAATGCATTAGAAATCCCCGTTTTCCAGATTTGAAGGACTTTTTATTTACAGCATTTTCACAGCAGCGGCACCAATTCAATAATTATTTTTGAAGTTGAAAGAATGCTGTACATATTTCATAATAACAGCGAATACAGAACATTCAACCTCAGCACAACTGTGTGGAGTGAGTTACGTTGTTCTAGCCTTGCTAGACTTATAGCCAAGAAGCAGCACTGTGCTGACTGCAAACGAATGTAACGGCTGATGAGTGATATGCCAAACTCTTATTGCATGAAATTAATTCAAATCCCAAGAAGCAAAAAGTTTAATGGGAAAATTACTGAGAATTACTTTTCTCAAGGGCAAAAAAAAAAAAAAAAAGATGAAACAGTACTCTACATTGTAACTCAGTAGAGATACTAAACATTACCACAAGATGAGCTTTTAAGTAGCTCTGTCTGTTAAAATCAATGGGGAATCCTCCAAAGATAATTACTTTGTCCAGTAGTTACTGGATAAAGAATTTAGCTATTAACTTAAGTGGGGCCAGGGAATTATGTCTCACAGTTCAGATCTGAGCTAGCGCACGTGGAGCTATGCATCTTAGGACCTCAGCACCTGTAGCCCTTGAGAGCTTTGATTTTTTTCAAGACCTTCTTAATAGTATAAGATTAGGCCATATTACAAAACAAGGGTTTAACCTTCAGACTGACTCTGTTAATAATGTTTTGATAGCACTGTGAAAGAAAATGACTGGTACCTCTTTCTTTGGCCACTCTTTTCTTTTCGAAGAACTTTCTATGGTCTCTCCATGCATTTCAAATGCCTGGTTATCCATTTAGTAAAGCTGAAATAGATAAGTCCACAGAAGACAAGAAAAACATAGAAACGAAAGAATGTTAATTCCAGTATGTGCTCAGTTATGTTACAGTGTCCAGGGAAGTGACTCATCTTCATAGTAACGCTAATGGTATTTAGCGCAGTACCATTGTGCAGCAGTGTGATGCAATACAAATAATTTTTCTTCACTAAACGACGATAGAAAGGTCTGACAACTTCCACATTCAGATTTAACATTATTCATGTATCACATGAACCCTAAGACACAACATGACAATGAGATACAGTCTGAACTATTAAATACTTACGGGAAAAAACCCCAGAGATCATTTGGTTCTTCTACCTATGCTAAGGACCTAATATATTTAAATTACAGTTTTAACTGTTGTGTAATCTACTTTCAAAACCACAAAACCAGTTGAGGTTCCAGAACTTCTCTGGCAACCCATTTTCCCGCTTGCATGTCATTATTGTTAAAAAGGTTTTCACAAGCCTAAGTCACTCTTGCTGCAACAGAACTGTTACATTTTACCCTCCCACAATGGACCTGACTACACAAGAAATGCCCTACCAGGGGAGACCAACAGTACATCCAGCCCTGTTTTTTCTCTGACAGGACCTTAGGAGATGAGAAGGGAGAAGATGGCCTGGCTCCTATTTCCAGGTTACACCTTTGATACTTTACAAGCACACATAACTGTCGGATGAGAGATGCTAGAGGAAATAGCCTCTTCCCTTTAGATTTCATTCTGTGAAAAACTCCATAACTTAGACAAAGTCTTTTCTGAACCTGCTGATACTCCCTGATGTCCTAAGTTTACTGCTTGCGGGTTAAAACAAGAGTGCTTCTCAGTCCTAAACAGGTCTCCTACCAGCTTCCTCAAGGCCTCCTACGCTTCTGCGTTGTGGGATCTGAGCAACGACAAGCACACGCTCCCCTCTCCAAGCTGAGGGTCCCAGCCTTTTTAGTCTCCCTGTTAGGCAGCTCTTCCATCTCTGTGATCATTTCAGTCGCTCTCCTCTGGATCTTCTCTAACTCCACCATATTATGAAAATAAAGAATAGCAATAGACTTCATTCTTAACTGCTCTCCGAGTACTGATCTCCACCCATCTTTACACTTCCCTAACAAGAATTTAATATAGATTATGATGCCTTGTTTTGAGGCACACAAGTGTTAAACGTTGCTACCCAGTCATAAAAAGGAAACGGTTTGTGTAACACAACCGTGTGTGCAATGACCTCCCTCCCCCGCCCCATTTCCTTGATATATTCCATGTTTGATTATGTACTTCTGAACTTCTAGGAAACAAAGGGTAAGCTTATTGCCCTATAATCCTTTGATATCATTTAGCTGACTTTTTGTTAAACATTACTTTGCTAGTCCCATTTCCAGACCCTTGTGGGACTGCACTGAGTTCTAAACATTACTGATAACTCCAAGATAGCTTCAGCCATTTCTCCGAGAGCTCGGCGTTAATGCCGGTAGGCGTAGTCCCCTGAACACAGGTAGCTTGTGTAAGAGCGATCAGTCGTGTTTTCCCTCTCGTAATCTGAGTTTTTTCCACTGCTCATTGTCATTGATGTTTTAAGTAAACATTGTACCTTCGCTGACATAATTTATTACTCTCTGCAGGGTGGTCATGGATCAAAATTTTCCTTCTATCAGTAAGGGACTTGTTGTTTGAGATCATAAGCAATAAGGAACTTTTGGGTTAGTTTATTATCTTCGACAGCTTTTCTTCCTTGTGATTTTTGTGCTTTGGATGTTCCAAAAAGCACAGAAGTCCAAGATGACTCATCTTTAGGGACAATTCTAGCTATTTCCATTGTGCTTCTGTCTTGAAGACATATTACACTTATTTTCACTGTTCCATATTAGGATATCCTGTGACTATAGCTTAAATATACATATTTTTATGAACTGCCAAACTCCTGAGCACTTTTTCCTAGACTTTTTTTCACAGGACTTCGCAAACAGATCTTTGAATTTCTTATAGTTGCATTTTTCTACTCTTTTTTTCCATTCTAAAAATTTTGAAAACCTTCTAGGAAAATTCTTTTATTAACCTCCACCTTCTGCACCAAAACCTGACATCATCCTAGTCTAAAAATACTCTGGATACTCTGTATTCAATTTATTTTTGCCAACAAACATTTGGTTAACTCCTCAAGGCAAATTATTCTGTCAGTCACTTACAAAAATGTTCTTTCCATCTTATCCTTCTTGGTTTGGTGGTTTTAATGGCAGGTCCTCAACATAACAGCATTTCTCTCCTTATATTATCATAAAGATACTTTTAACAGATTATATCCCTCTGTATTCTAGACTTCAACACAAAGGTAATATTCATAGAGAAACATATCTTCCCTCTCCTTTTTTTCAGGAGCCACCTCCACTTCTTTTTTTCCTGTATTAATAAAAAATGAAATATCCCACCAAGCAAACATTTACGTCACCTAAATCACAACTGTGTATAGAACCTTGTACATTCTTCCATTTAGTTTCCATAGAGCCTACATGACTATAGACACCTTAAGTGTTAAGCAGACATATTCACTATCCTGTTTTGCATATTGCTTCAATCCTTTTTATAAAAACCCTGTATCCACGGTTACTATGCCTCTGGTCACCTCTCCACTGATAACACATTCTTTTGCCATCAGTGCCCATTCATTCTAGCTTAAAGCCTTCCTTCCTAAGTTGGTAAGCCTAAACTTAAAGCAGCACTTATTTTTCCTTATGAGATAGAACCCATGTCTCCTCAGCAGTCCTTTTTTTTCTGTTCTGGAAAAGCTGTGAAAGCTCAGCCATTCAAACTGGCAACAGCGGGATCAGGTCAATTAAAATTAATGACAAGTTTTTTCTTATTTCCCTTTGACAGCAAGTCTCTACACAGTGAGAGACATACTCAAAATATTTGGTCCACTTTACAGTTGGTAAGGACATAAAAATTAAAAACCACGTTAAATCACAGAATCCATGATCAACAAGAAAGAAAAGATACATCACAGTTTTCAAGGGCTTCACAATTCCAGATACCTTTTTTTATATATATGTGAAAATCCATAAGCATCTCTTGGAAAACAAATACAACTGCACTGGTGGTGTCAGAGGTATGTAGGAAAATGATTAATAGGTTGATAATGAGCAACTATGGGGTTTGCAGTTTTTCCATACAACTGCACTGGTGGTGTCAGAGTTATGTAGGAAAATGATTAATGATAATGAGCAACTATGGGGTTTGCAGTTTTTCAGACAGACTTTTTCAGACTAAACCAGGTATAAACTCTAGTCAAATTAACCCTCTGCTGGCAGCACCATTAGTCTTCATGATATCTGGAGCCTGAAATTAAGTTTTCCTACATCAGCACCTAATGCAAATCTGTTACAGAGAAAAAGATAACTGCAGCATACAGTCATTCCATTTCAAGACCAGTATCACAATAGACTCTTTCATTAAGCCTTTAAAGGGCAAAATCCCCTGAGACAAAAATCCCATCTATTTTCCTCCCACCATGCCAAATCACAGTCTTACCACGGACAGGATCTTCACTAGTTTTAGGAACACGATATGTGTCTTCATCAAAGCCTTTACTTCCCTCAGCTCCGTTTTACTGATATATATACACTGTAATTCAGGAAGTGCCCTCCTCATAAAAGATTTCCTGTATATGCAAATACATAGGATCACAAGTACTTGTGTCCATCCTTAGCAAACAGTTTTTTTTGATTTGCTGAGAAACGGTGACTCTCCTCCTATCTATTCCTGCTATTTTATTTTAGTATTTCCTCCAAATCCTGGTCTCTGTCTTTCTGCCTTTTTGTTTTTCCCCACCGCAGAAGACCATAGTTCAATCAAATTCTGTTCCTCTGATCTAGCCTCAAGGACAAGAACATCACTGGCACCTTGGATATAGCAATTACTTTTGTTTAGTACTTGATTTACATATTCTGTTATTTTTCCTGAGTGGCAACTTCTTTATTCTAACTTAGAAGCAAATAATATTCGGGCCATAATTGCAAGAACTGACTGGTGTATACAACCAAAAAGTCACTTTTTTCTGTTGATACTAAAGGGGGATTTGATCCCTTGTAAACACTCTTTTAATGGCCATAAAAATCTTGACAGCATTTAAAAAAATTTTTTTATGCGAAACCAGTTGTCTCCACTTACTGACTAGTGGTGTTTTATCGGGGTTTTTTTAATGATTTTATTCTGTTCTTATTTGGATTTTATTGTTTACAATTAGAAAGTGTCACTCATTTGTTGCTTAGTTTCACATGCTTAAGGTATTTTTATCTTGTTCAGTACAGTACCTCACACAGTAGAGGTTATCCATGATCAAAGCCTTTCATATCTGGCCCATAATAAAGTTAGTAAATACAAACATTCAGTAATGTCCACAATACTTTTAGTTATCATGTAGGCCTGTGTGCCATAAAAAAAGTTGTGCTGAAATTCTCCAAAGTACATTAAACTGATAAAGGAGAAATACCTGGGGCTAATAAAAAAAAAAACCCAAAGAATAAGGAATCTCACAGATATGGTTAAGTATGAGGATTCTCCAAGGGGGAATTAATGGAAGAGACTTTCTAAATTTCAAGTCCATCTTGCTTGTGCTGCCAGCACCCCGAGGGGTATCAGTACACCTGGGTGAATAAATCTGTGAGCTATTGAGGCACATGCCCCTTCAGAAACAGGAGAGCTACGACAGCTTAGGCAGTGCCACGCGAGTTGTGCTGAGACTGAGGCGTACCAGCTCAAATGACACAGCATACACAGACTATGCGGAACTACCGACACATGGCATCCATAGTGCAAAAATAGAGCAACTTCATTGGGATCCACACTCAGACATGTGTGATATCAGGAAAAAACCCTCATCTTTCCTTGCACATCTGAATTCCTTTGATAAAGTGACCTCTGGCAAGCAGATACTGTCTTAATACAGACAACAGTTACACCCACAGTATCATCTGGTTTGTACAATCATGTCTCAGCAATGCAAGGCTTTATAAAAACTTCTACAAGAAAGTCTTTGAGAGGCGTAATTTCGTTTTCTGTACTCTGATTTCAGATCTAGCTCTAAGCATTTGGGAAACACGAATAAAAGTCTCTGAAATACATTATTACGTATTACTTATGATCTACCCATGTTCTCATGATGCCATGACAGTCATAAAATGAAGTAATTTATCTCTCTACTTACTAATTCTTAACAGGAAGATGGGAGAAATATATAGCTAATCTTCCTTCTACTTTTTCTTCTGGTTTCTATTTGATTTCTCAGAGTCAGTCCATGCTCAGGTACCTGCTTTCTCACATGTACCTATAAATATCCAGATGAAGAGGAAACAGTTCACTAAGAAGGCAAGTTACCATACTTTGTTTGCTGACAGCATAAAATGCTAGGCTACATCATATAAGCCTCAGAAGAGGTACAAAAAGGCTTCTTTCAAACTGTTGTGTCAATAGACTTCAATTCACAACTCAAATTACTACTTACAGCTTTCCTCTTTGTCTCTCAATTTGCTGCTGCCAAATGGGATGAGTCCTACTCCTCTCTCCCCTACACAAGCTCCAGCGACTGTCAGTGGCTTTCACGAGCTAATTCTATTCCGTTATGCTGAAAAAAATTACTTCTCTGCCTATTTAGGCCCCCTGAAGGATTTTATATGCTCTAAAGGTAAGAACAAGGCCAAGGAAAATGGAAGGGAGGTTAGGACTTCCCAGTAACAGTGACAACCAGCTGTTGGATCAGTTCAGCTGAAACACATTCCGTGCTCCTAAAGAGGATGCCTCTAAACCAGAGCCTTCTCTCCCCAAAGAGCCAGGCTTTGCTAGAATATGAAAGGGAGAACAATTCAAAAAGGCTTCAGACACTTTTTGATACAATATATTTGGTAAGTTTGTGGTCAGGGAACAAGGAGCATACAATTTCATCAACTGAAGTCCTGTAGAAGGAACAACACTGAAAATATTATGTAATTATATTATTACTAAACCTTCCTGCTTGACTTTACACATGATATTGAGCTCCTCCTACTTCTAACAGCCCCTGTAAGGAAGTAATGATGAGAATTGGCCAAATAGTTTATGTTTTTGTCAATTTTTATAAACAGATTCTTCCAAAAAAATGTTCACGTTATTTTAATTAAATAGTCTTTAAAGAGTGATCTCTCCTGTCACATTGTTAGATCCTACTGGAAGCACTAATATTAAATTAAGCTTTGAAGTAATTAATGAAAAGAACAGATATGTACAGAAATACCAAATACAACATTTTTGAGAGCATGCACTAGTTCAGCTTTCAAAAAAGTTTGACTGGTGGGCAGGCTGACAGATTGTTTAAATTACACAATATTCAAATACTCTTAGTTATCAGCTTCACAGATTATTTTTTTTTCTTGTTTATCTTCTTCATGATCATCGGTCTGCTCTTGTTGGTTACTGTTGTCTTCAACAAGACTTTTAAGACGTGACAAATGATGTAAAGCCCTAGATTAGGAAAAAAGAAAACTTTAACAACTGTGTATGTATTGCTGTTTACATTTATCACAAAGTGATGTTGATTTCTTACAAACAGCTTAACAGTTTGAACTTTATTATATACAGTTTACATCTATGTCTAACTGTTCCACTTACTCTGTTTTAGAGATTATAAAATACACAAAGACTTTTTTAAAAAGATAAAACAATTTTTGGAACTGAAATTTTAAATAAGTCTTCTCCAACACAGCTGCTTACACACAGTTTCTATTAAATTATTACAGAAGGGGTATTTAAGACAGGATGCTAAGCACTGCAAAACATCATGTTATAAAAAAGTATATCAATACTGAAAGTTACTGGATTTTTTAGATTTAAATCCTTCCATTTTACATTACAGTATAAAACTACACTGCGACAGAGTGTTATGTAGAACACTTGTTTCAACAATAGAGCCCTGTTTTCCATTCTGCCTTTTCTCAAACTTATTATTTCTTTAGTCACTTACAACTCTTCAGTAGGACTCTGCTGATTTCATTAATAAAAGGCTTTCTAGCAATTATTTTCCCCACTATAGTGAAAAAAGTAAGGAGATACTTTGTCCCCCGTTACAAATTTCTCCAAGTTTGATTATTTTATAGTCCATATATGCCGTCGCACTAATTAATGTATTGATAGAGATGAAATACAAACATTGAGTCACAGAGTGCATCTCTGCAGCCTTTCACTAGATACTTCTCTGCTCCATGAACTGCCATGTTTTTAATTATTCACTACTGGCTTATTCTTAACAAAGTTTCCAGATCACATGATAACTCTCCCAGCTAATTTATCATTCCTTTTCTGCACCTTCCAAAAACAGTGAAAAGTCAGAAAAATCAATGGTCACTTACTTCTGAATAGAATTAGTAAGAGGGATTATCTCGCTGTCACACAGTTTTAGTTCAGCCTCTGCTTTTTCAGAAAGCTAAAAATTGTTAAAACAAAAAAATTGTTAACTGAGGGAAGGAAAAGTAGCTGAAAATGACAAGAAACATGGAATTTTGAAAGCACATTGCATTGGAAAGTATTGCCAACTATTTTATAGCATCATAAAGTAATTCAGGTTGGGAGGGACCTCAGGAGGTGGGCTCCTGCTCAAAGCAGAGGCAGCTACACAGTTACAGCAGGTTGCTCAGGGCTTTATTCAGTCAAATCTTGAAAAGCTCCACAGATGGAGACATCTTCTCTCAAACAACTTGTTCCAGTGCTTGGCTCTCTTCAGGGTTAAAAAGTTTCTCCCAGTGCCCAGTGTGAGCCTCCTGTTTCAATTTATGCCTGTTTCTCATCCTTCTACCACACACAACTATGAAGACCCTGGCTCTATCTTCCTGATGCCCTCCTCTCAGGTGCAGGAAGACTTCCTGTTAGGGCCCCCAAAGCTTTTTGTCCAGCCTGAGCAAGCCCAGTTCTCTCAGCTGCCTCCCCCCCCCCCCCCCACAGAGGGACAATCGGCTCTCTTGATCCATTGACTTGTGCTCCAGTCCACATAGCCCATGCCCTGCTGTTCCTCCTTTGCTGCCAGGGCACACAGATGGCTCACGTTCAGCTTGTACCTACACCAAGACCTCTCGGGCATTTTCCATGGAGCAGCCCCCTATAGCCAGACAGTCCCCAGCCCGTGTTGCTGTGAGGGTTTCTTCCTTCCCAGGTGCAAGGCCTTGCATTTGCCTCTGCTGAATTTCAGGAGAATCCTGTTGGCCCATTCCCCAGCCTGCCCTGATCTGTAGGGTTTAAGAACTGTATGCAAGCAACATTATGGAATAGGTAAAAAGACAAAGTCTATGAAATCATTTTGAAACAAGAGTGCCACAAAATACCAGTTTACCGATGGCAAAGGAGGCAAGGACAGAGCATTTGAGAAGGTCTAGCTTTTTAAAAATTTGGCACATGCCCCTGAAAGCCTAGAATTAACAGGAATATGACCAACTTTTCCAACAAGACAACTTCTCCAGAGCACAGCTATTGCTAGAGCAGCAGAGGAGGGCAGAGCCCGCTCTCTCAGGGCAGGATCACCTGAAACATCGCCATCTCCTGGTGTACAAGCATCGCTTGCTGCAGCACCGCTGAGGCCACTGCTGAGTTGTGGACCTGCTACCCAGGGCCCCTGCGAACAGGCCACAGCATAAGGTAGCACAGAGCCTCCAGTTTGCAGCAGCAACAAGACACAGGGGATTTAGGGCACAGCAGTCTTGAGCATCTGCTCCTGATGCAAACTGGATTGAATCTGATGGCAGTGCTCTAAGATGACTGGAAACCAAGTCTATAAAAGGACTAACAGTTTATCTCAGAAACATACACAGCACACAGATTTTGAGACAAGATGCAGCATAAGGAAACTGACTACTCACTTTTTCAAACTCTTCCTTTTGCTCAGCAGTTTCATTCTGGCTTAAACTTCCCTGCATTGCTTGAAGTTTAAACAACATTAGCTTCAAGGCTTCAAGGGGCCTGTGATGATGACCTCCAGAAAAATTATTTTCCTAAACCAAAACCCAAAGAATCTGTTGAGCTTGCAGTGTACTGCAGT